CCACTCCTTGGTTGTAGGCCAGGGAGACTGCGTCAGACTTCTGATCTGCAGGCTGTGAGAGTGTTTGTGTTATTTGGTTTTGAAATTTGGTTAATTAGTGACAGCAGCAGTGGGGAGCTGCAGGGAAGATGGACGAAAGCAGCAGCAGCGGTGGCAGCAGAGGAGCCCAGAGCCCCTGTTTGGGACAAGGATGCAACCTGTGCATGGAGGTGGCTGAGGGAGCTCCTCAGCTGCACAACTCCGACCTGGGAACCGGAACTCGGGAACAGCCTGGCACACACCCAGGTCCCGCTCATGGACCCGCCCCTTCCTCTGTCCCCTCCCATCTTCCCAGGGAGCCATGCAGTCCCCAGCTGCAGAGGCTTGGTCATTCCAGGGGGTGCCACATGGAGGAGCACCCCAGTGCCCCCCCCAACCCGGCAGAGCTGGGCCACCCAGAGCTTCCGGGTGCAGGGGCTGGGGCTAGGAACTTGCGCTGGCAGCCACTCCCTGCAGCTCTCCCCGCTTCCTACATGGCATTGTGAACGCTGGAACAGGGCTTGTCCCCCGCAGTTAGCCAGCGTTCACTGAGTGCCCATAGTCGCCCAGTGCTCTGGGCCCCCCATGAGAGGATCCCATCAAATCTCTCCTGTGAGAGGCATGGACTCTACCTCACAGGTGAGTAAATGAGGCTCGGAGATTCCCAGTCTCCCTGGCTCCGATGCAAGGCCGGGGGTCCTGCTCCTGCGGCTGCTCGGGGAAGGACATCCGGGGTCCCTCCCCACCCCACAGGCCCTCTGAAGTCCTTCCGAGGGAGCAGGAGCACAGTAAGAGGCTAAGGGAGCATGGCTCTGCTGTGCTGCTCTTTATTCTGTTTCTAGGGAGTGTTCCTAGAACATAGACTGCAGGGCCTTCCATGGAAACAAACCGGGAAACAGTCCAAGTGCCAGCGATTTGGGGATCCAGGGGCTTGGAACTCGGCCCCTTTCATCGGTCCTCCAACTACACAGCAGTTTGGAATATTTTGGACTTCCTGTCCTTCCTCCAGGGCCGGGAAAACTCTATCCTACAAACAGAAAATGTGCAAACATGCAGCTGCCTGCATGGGTTTTCTCTGTTACCTCAAGCAGGGCTGGCGTCCTCCACCTGGGCCTCCTTGTCCTGCCCACGAGCATAAGGGACACCTGGCTCAAAGCCCGGGTCCGAGGGCGTGCAGGCCAGGGCTCTCTCTGTGCTGCAGCTCCGGGTTTTCTGGGGGAGGTGTGGGGGGCACCTGAGTTCCTCTTTGGCTCTGAGGTCCCCGGCAGGAACGAAGTCTTCCAGGACTAACCCAGGACAACTTTGCCCCTCAACTTGTTCCCCATCGAATTGACCATCATGAATAGAGGAAAAAGGGGCAGGGAAGAAACAAGACCAGCAGCAGCAGCAGGAGAAGAAAATGAGGGAAATGAAGACAGATTGTTAAATTGAGCACCGCGAGGAGGCAATGGAAGAATCATATTTCCCTGCCCTAATAACCCGGCTCATATTCGGTGATCAATCACGGCATCACGGCACTTTCAGCTTACCAGCTTATCGATACGAGGAGGTTTAACGTGCACGTCCTGACGTGTTCCCAATACGGAGCAGAAAGGCAACCACAGCGTTCCCTCTGAATGCCCGCGACCGCGATGGTGGATCAATGCCTGTCAAAACATCCTCATTCTCCCGGAAACCGAGCTCGGATGACAGTAATTAAGCTGTGAGAGCTGCTCTGGTAACCTATGACTATTCTGCTGCAAACAAACACCTCATTGATCAAACGTATTTTATTTTTAATATGCACGGATTCGCCACACTCTCAAAGCTGCTTTTCACCATGTGCATGTAAGATGAGGCTCCCTGGGATCCAATGCCTGCTTCTTGGGATCAGCAGCCAGATCAGGGAGGAGTGGTCTGTGCTCAGAGATCCTGGGGGAGGCAGAGGCTGGCCGGCCTCTCATGCAGCCCCAGCCCACTCGGGAGCCAGGCCTAGTTGGGTCCCAGTGCAGCATCCGGGCCAGGGCTGATCTGTACTCCGGCAGGAATGGGTGGGAGGAGACAGCGCCGCGTCTGTGAGCAGCCGCCAGCCGCTGAGCCTTCCCCAGAGCGTGGGCCCAGGCACCTTCCTCTCTCCTGCCGCCGTCTTCTGGGAGGAGCAGCTTTTTCAGTCTCGCTTTTCCCTGCTGGCACTGTCCAGGCGGCCTGAGACGGGGGCCACCCGAGGGGAGTTAGGGACAGATCCGCAGCCGCACCGAGCCGGGCCGTCCTTGGGGTGCGAAAGTCCTTCCCGGGACTCCTCAGTAACTCAAGCTAGTGCCCGCCCACTCTCTTCTGCCAGCCCCCCGGTGGGTGTTCGGGCCAGGACTGTCACGTGTGCTGTTCCAGGGAGGGCCAGAGACATGGAGCCAGGCTCCAGGCTGGGCTGGCTGGTGCTGTGCTGCTCTCAGCGATGAGGAGCGGGCTCCTGCTGGAGTCCAGGGTCTTGTGGTGTCCTGCCTGGGCTTTGGTACGGACCTTTTGACAAACACTGTTGCCCTTCCAGGTACTGCAGCCCCCTGTGGCCTGGTGTTTCTGCTGTCCCCCAGCAGCACCTCAGTGGGCATCCAAAGAACAAGGGTCCCCAGAGACGCCCAGTCCCAGGCCCTGGAGCAGGGGCTGTGCCTGCGTGAGGACCTGGGTTTGGGTGGGGAAATGCAGGCTGATCTGGTGGTTCCCGGGGCCACACACGGTCGGCCATGGGAGGCAGGAGGGCAGAGTGGCTTTGCTTGTGAACAGCGCAGCTTACACGACTGACACCTGGGGCCAAGCGGGCCAGGACAGAGCCTGAGGGCCCAGCCCTGCCAGAGGAGGGTGCCGGGCAGAGGGGCCGGAGAAGAGCTGACACCTCTGAGTGGACACAGCCACAGGAAGCCTGCTCAAGGCCGCCCCGGCCTGGCGTGAGGGCTGTGCTGGCAGCCCTGGGGCCTCTGTTCCAAGTTCTGCTGTGGGATGCAGCCCACTGGCTCCTCTTCTGCCCGCCCTCCTCACCTGCAGGATGTAGGACAGACAGACAGACAGACAGACATGTGCCCGACAGCAGTCAGTTACCCAGGGCTAAGGTCTGGGGGGCCAGGGCTGTGGATCCTCCATTTGGGAAGGCTCTCAGGGAGGGAGGCTGCATGCTCCTGGGAAGAGGCCACTGTATGCTGTCTCGAGGCCCAAAGAGGGGCAGCAAAGGGGACCCCAGGACCCCAGCCTCTTTGGTGACCCTCTATCAGGTGCTGGGCCCGGGACAGCCAGAAGCTGAGCAGGTGTGGGCATGAGAGCCCAAGGGTGCCCGGTGGCCCCCGCATCCGTGGGGCTAAGGCCTGGTGGTTCTGAGGTTGGCCTGGCACAGGCCTGGGCACCAGGAAGCCCGGGGAACCTCAGGCCTCCCCAGTCGGGCTTTGGGTCAGGGGGTATGACCTGCCTCCCACAGCCCCCTACAGGCTGGCTCATCTCTTTGGTGGGCCTCAGCACCTCCACCCACTCCTCTAGCAGGGACCAGGCTTCAGCCAACCTGGTTTTATGTGAAGTAGTGAAGAACTTGGCCCGGACTGCTGCCCGGCTGCCCCGCCCGAGGGCAGGAAGTGACTGGATGGCAGGGCAAGGCCACTGCTGCCTGGTGGCACCATGGGGCAGCTTCTCCTAGGCTCAGCTGCTGCTGCTGTGGCCTGACCTCCCCAGCCTCAGGGCCTTCTTTTCCACAAAGCCCGAGTGAATGGGTCCCTTGCAAACTGGCCTACTTTCTCCAAATGAATGGGCTGCACCCCGGGCCTGACCTCTCTGGATTCCAGACTACATTCTCATTTGCTATTAGAGATGCATTCTTTCCATGCCTCTTATATGCTGAGAACTGCCTGGTCACTTCACAGATTTATTTCCTAATCTCAGAGGGTGAAATTAAAGAGATTATTTCTTCAGGAAATATTGTAAATTATAATAGAAGAACATTTTATTTCAAAGAAATGCTTCTTTCCCTTCTGATCTGTCTTTAACATATGGCCCGCAACACACCCAGAATCAGTTCTGAGTTTGCTCGTCGGTGAAGCGTTTCCAGCGATGCACACAGACACTGGGCCGGCCCAGCCGTAGATCACCCGGGGTCTGCCAGGCTGGGGACGCAAACACAGCCTGCTTCCCCCTCGCAGGAGGTGAGGTGCTGCTGTGCAGCCCTGTGGGTGTGGAGGGTGTGAGCCTGTGTGTGAGGTGTGCACGTGGGAGCACCCAGGGTGACCCGGGTGTGCATGTGGACGTGTGTGTGCGTGCGTGTGCGCTTGTGGGGGGCAGTGTGACGGGTGTAAGAACCACGAAGGTGTGTGGGGTGCCAGGCCCACCCGAGTTCTCAGGCCCGGAGCTTCTCCCACTGCAGTCGGAGCCCTGGCTCTGCGCACCATGGTCGGCGTGTGCACCGTGAAGGGGAGGGTCCTGGCCGAGTCCGGCATGGCCCCTCCTGGGCCTGCGTGTGGGAGGAAGGCTCCAGTGCTCCCGCCGTTTCCAGGCAGGGCAGTTGGCTCAGGGTGTTGGCCGACCCCGGGCGGCACTGTGTGGGGAAGCATCTATTAGGGTTGGGGCGCAGCCCACATTAGAAGGAAGTGTGGCCTGGGAGGGCCTGGCGTGGCCTGCTCGTGACGAGGCCAGTGTCTCCGGGGCAGCCGTGTCTGACCTGCTGCCTCCGAGCTGAACCCACTGTGTTATTAACAAAATACAAAAAGGGAAGTTCTACTGCTTACACACGTGAACTGTATTGTGCATTTTACGTGTGGCCCAAGGCCTTTGTCTTTGTCCAGAGCGGCCCAGGGAGCCTGGCACGTCCAGTACAGGGCCTGGCTGGGGGCAGGCAGACTGCAGGCCGTGAGCTGCTGGACTCTGGTTCTGGCTCCAAGGGAGCCGTGCCCCGCCCACCTGCTCTCTCCACCCTCCCGGCCCTGCACCCGGCTCCTCACACAGCTCTGCTTCCGCCAGCTCTTGAGAACCCCTGAGCCAGGCTGTGGGTCCTAGCTCATCCTGACTGCTGGTGTGGGCGGGCTCTTCCTCATGCAGGAACAGGCCCTGCACCCTGAAGGCCACAAGGGAGAGGGAGAGGGGTCCTGGAGGGCTGGGGGCTGCAGGCGTGGCCCCGCCTCTCCCAGGGCATTGCCCTAGCTCCCTCTGGCCCCTAAGGTCACTGCCAGGACCCTCGCCCATGAGCCACCCCACCCCCACCAGCTTCCTGTTTCTTCGAGGTGGCCCGCAATACTCGGATACTTCATCAGCTCTTTTTATTAAAGTTTTTTGTTGTTTTTGTGTTTTTGAGACAGGGTCTCCCTGTGTCCTTCCGGCTGGTCTTGAACTTGGGCAATCCTCCTGCCTCACTGCCCAAGTGCTGAGATCTCAGGTGTGTGCCAGCACCCCTGACCGCATCAGCGTCTGCGGAGCTTGTGTCCATCTGCCTCAGCCTCTCCTTTCAGTCAAAAAGACCACTTTAAATTTTCCCAAGTTAAAAAAGAATTACGGCTGAGATTAATTCATCTACTTTCCTAAAGTGAAGAAGCAGATGTAATCAGGGTTTTGTAATTGCCTTTTTTCCCATCATGCAGGTGGTCAGCTTTCCTGAAGCCAAAGAAATTTGGCAAAAGCTTGTTATGCAGGTAACAAGAAAAGCTCGGGTGGCTCTGCAGTCACCAGGCACCGAGGCCTCATCGGTACCTGTGAGAGCCCGGGGCCGGCTGCCCTGCACCTCGAGGATGCACCTGGTGGCCTCATGGTGCTTGGTCCTCTCCCGAGGTCACTTGATCTTTGCCTTCTGAACAGCAGCCCTCAGAAGGCAGTGCAGACCCTTCTGGGTCATCCTGAGGGTACCCACATGGAAGCTGCGAGTCCCGGGGACCGTGCATGGGATCTGCAGCTGCAGGCCGAGCCAGGGCAGGCAGAGTCCTGCAGGGAGAAGCCATGGCTGCAGACTTCCCCTGGGTGGCCAGAACTGTTGGAGATGAAATAATATTAAAGTGAACCAGACCCAGACCACTCAGTGTATTAAAGGAACCAGATTGTGTTTTTCTCTTTTTTCACACTGTCTCCTAGTTGGAAGAGAAAGACAGCCAAGAGCCCTGTGTATTAGTTAAGATTTCAGCTGTAAGTCACAGATGACTGACTTAGCAACTGAAGGAATTTAAGGAATGCTTTGGGACTCCAGATGGCAGAGCCAGTCATCTATGATGTATTGAAAGAGAAAGTCCTCTCACCTTTCTATTCTGACAATTCTGTTGGCTTTGGTTCTGAGACATGACCTTCATGGTCACAAAGTGGCTGCATTAGCACCAAACATCTCATCTTGAGATGGCTTTTCCCCCAGACAAGCAGAGTGAGTAGTTTTGTGCCTCCTTTCTAGTTATAAAATCTTCTCCAAGATTCTCCCAGCAACTGTCCCTCAGGGTCGAGCCCTAGTTCTTGCGGTAGCATGCCCACTGCTTTAGAACACCTGTGCTGACCACTGCCAAGGTTGAACTAATCAAGATGTGTTAGTGCAAGCTTCTCTGTATTTCTCAGCCAACAGATGTGTGAACCAAGTAGGCCATGGTTCTGTCAGTAAAGAGGAAAGGGTGGGAACAGGTCTGGTCCGAAGCGTCTGCCAACTTCTGGTGAGATTTGGGCGAAGTAAATTTTGTGGCATCTGCTTTGGCGTGTTCTGTCCCTCGCCGTCCTGGAACTCTGGACTGAGGAGGGACACTTGGCGCTGGCTCCCAGCAGCCCGAGGAGCCACCCTGTGGACCCTCAGGGCAGCGAGGCACGCTGGCCTTCAGTGCTCCCCACAGGTGGCCCTGGCTGTGTTTGGAAGCATCGTCATAGAAACCAGAACAAATCACTGGCTGATTACGCTCCAGTTCTCGTTAATCATTCCTTCACTGGGTCAGCCAGGATTTCATGCCCAGGCCGAGCCTCTCTTTTCCCTAGGGCCCTCGCAGAGCCCGGAAAGAGAAAAGGAGGGGCAAGAGGCAAGCTCAGCCTGCAGACCCGGAGATCCGGGCCCAGAGGTGGGCGGGGCCTGGGGTACCTTCCTGCACCTGAGTCTAGTGCATCCTGTGCTGGGCTCTGCGTCAGGCACTTCCGGTGATCGCAGCCCCCCCCACTCCGAGGGAGGCAGCAGGGAGGCACACAGCACAGAGCTGGGGTGCGCAGTCCCAGGGGGCTGGAAGGCCCACCCAGCGGATCCCGGAGCTGATCAAGGCCGGCTCCTCCTGGGAGGGGTTGGAGCCGCACTGGGGCAGCCCCATGCCTTCTGCTGTGGCCAGGACTGGCACCCTAAGAAGCAGTAAAGCGGGCAGGCTCTCGCCTCCCTGAACCTCCTCTCCCGGGCAGTGCAGGTGGTGACCGGGACTGGAGCAGCACCCGCGGCTTCTGTGCGAAACAGGGTGAGCAGTCTGAGGTGAGACTGAGAGGGAGTGGGTTACCTGCGAGTGCTTTCTGCCTTGCTGGGCAGCCCTGTGGCAATTGGAGGACCACACAGAGGTCTCCCTTCTGGACCCCACACTTGGGAGGAGTCGGCTGTGACTCCCCCCCCCCCCCCCGCCCCCGGAGAGCATCCCTTCCCTCGCCTGGCCCCATCCCACGAACTCCTCCTCACTCCTTGTGAATCGCTGGCCACATAAAACTCCAAGTCTGGAATCTTCTCTTTGGATTAATTAAAACTACCAAGGTCATTCATGGACTCTTCCAGCTAGTTCTGAGGTCTGTTCAATTTTTATGGAATCTCATTAAAGTTCACTGCAGATGGGTTAAAAACTTTAAGTGTTTTACAGAAAGTTTTAAACCACAGTGCATGACTTTTGCAGGGGAGCACAGGGGCAGCAAGGCTTTCCTGTCTCTGCCCAAATGCAGTGAGGGCCAAAGCAGCTGGGTGTCTGGTTTCCTGGGTTTCTGTGAGGCGGACGCCCGGGAGCTGAGGCTCCTACACTGTGATCTGAGGACCAGAGCCCAGCCCGAGCTCAGTGCTGGCCCTTGGCCTGGCCCTGCAGCGAAGCAGTGTGGTGTCACCACGAAGCACACAGCTTGCCTGGCGTGAGAGGGCTTCCAGGTGTGAAACATGCCAGCTTTCGAAGACTTGATGTAAAATGTGTGTAAATATCTCAGATACAGTTTTATATGAACTACACAGTGAAATGATAGCATTTTGGATATATTGGGTTAAATAAAGTATGCATTGAAATGAATCTCATGTTTCCCCTGAGGATTTTGCCCTGGCCTAGAGGAAATCTGAAGCCACACAGGGGTCACGCTGCTCTTCTCCCCGATGAGAAGTCCCGGTCGGAGGCTGGCTGTCGGCTGGTCTCACCCAAGCCTGGCCTCTTCTGATTGTTTTTTCTGGTACTGGGGATTGAACCCAGGGCCTTCACACCCAGCTACAGCCCCAGCCCTTTATAAAAATGTTTAAAGTTTGAGACAGGTGCAGTTTGTCTGCCCCCAGCCAGCGTGGCACCAGCTCTCTGCCCCTGGGGTCTTTGGGAGCAGTTGGCGCCATGCACAGCCAGCCCTGCTCCGTGCTGTCCTCTGCAGGGCGACAGGCTGCCTGTGTTCCCACATTCTCCTGCAGTGGGAGCTGGGTTTTGCTCAAGCTCGCTGTCCCCAAGGAGGAGCCTTGTTGGGCCCTCAGGAGGGCTCCTTCTTTGCTGAGCCATGAACACGTGTTGCTCTGAGCCCCTGCCATTGGCATGAGGTGAGCATGCAGCAGGTCCCTGCACAGCCCGGGAAGGAGCTCAGTGCCTGTGCTCCGGCTGCGGCTGGCAGAATCTTCAGCTGCCCACAGGCTCTGGCTAGAGGTGAGCGGGCTGGGAGGAGCTTGAGGGTCCGTCCTATCCTCCCATGCTCTGCCCTTCTGCAACGATACAAATGCCCAGGGTGGCTGAGCCCAGGCATGGGAGGTGCTGCTGGCCACCCAGGTTCCAGGCACATGGCCGGGGCTGCTCCAAGCTCTCCCAGGGCTCTGAGAGTGAGGACTGAGCAGGGAAGATGACTCTTGGGTGGGACGATGTTTAGGCTGTGCACTTGTTTATTCATTGCCAAGATGAAGGACCATCCTTCTTTTTCAAAAATCGAAGCATGAAAGTTGAATGTGTTTATGGAGCATGGTGTTAATTTTCTGTCACTGACAAAAGGCCTGAGGCAATCACCTTATGAATGATTCGGATAGGATCCCTGAGGACAGCTGGCTAACTCCTGCTGCTCCCTGTGCTCGAGGGCAGTGTCTCCGAACTCCTTCCTTCAGGGCCACATCTGTTGGGCTCAGTGGATGAGTGGATGGGGCAGGAGGCGGCTGGGGTTGCTGTGACCTCTGGGGGATCTGCCTGCCCCAGTCCTACCTGGCCGCCGGCAGCCGACGAGAACCCTGCAAGGCTTCCTCTGTACAGCCCTTGGCCAGGCTCTGTGGGGTACAGCTCTTCCACGCGCACCCTCTAATGTTTGGGGCCAGAGACTTCTTTGTATGGGAGGCCATCCAGGGCGTGTATTTCAGGGTGTTCATCAGCACCCTCAGCTTCTACGCACTAGATGCCAGCAGCATCTCCGTGGTTGTGACAAACAACGTCCCCAGGTATTGTCCTGTGTCTCCTGGAGTATAACTATCCCGGGTGTGGGCAGTGTGGATGGCTCACACCGGCATCTTCTGCACTCTTGCAGTGACCACCCATCGTGCTGGAGGTCCTGCATCTCGCCCCAACTTCACAGAACCACGTCTGAGCCAGGCACCCAGTCACCCAGAGCTCAGGGTCTCTTGAGCCCAGCAGCATGTGCGGAGAGCTGCCTCACCCGGGCAGATTTAGCATGCCACAAGGCCTCTGCTTCCCCGCTCCCCTCCATGTTTCCTTCCCAGGGTGGACGCCTTGAGTCCTGATTGCAGGAGATGGATCTCATCGTCTCTCTGCAGTGACCCATGCTTGCTATTATTTACCACTGGCTACTGACACTGATGCCAGGATGCAAAATAGCAAGAAGAGGGTATCCTCACTTTAGCCCTGGCTGGGGCTCAGGACACCCAGGAGCCAGCAGTAGAAGGAGATGAGGGTGACGAAAGTTGGCTCCATCCACACCACCAACTCTCCAGTCCTGGTGCCATCTGGAATGGCTTTTAATTCCACTCAGTCTGGGGGGCAAAGTGAGACATTCTGCTTCCCTAAAATGTCTAAGGCTTGGTAATACTGAAAAGAGCCATTTGCATGTTTACTGCTGAAACCACGTGGGAATTAAAGTTCCATCAATTATAGCATAGACGCTCTCCGTAAATGTAAACACCCACATGCAATTTACTCTGTTTGGAAGTGTGTACACAAAACGGATACCAAACAGTATTAAGTGATCATTAGTGACAGACCACTGAGACTTTCGAGCTGCTGCCTCTCAGGCTAAAGATGCTACGGAGCTATCAAAATACCTGGCACTGGTCCGAAGAGCGTGTTCACCATGGCATCTGGATCTTTGTGGAGCGTGAAAGCCACTGGTTTCTATGAACTGCAGCGAGGAGTGGGGAGAACGTAATCGGCAGAGCCTGGGATGAATCCACTTGGTTAAATGCAATGGGACATTGCCACTGGTCTCTCCGGAGCAGAGGGTTGATAGAACATGTGTGTGTGTGTGTGTGTGTGTGTGTGTGTGTGTCTGTGTGGCCCACATGCCTTGTGCAGAATCATGCCTTCCACTCACCCCCCTATTTTCTGCCCCTTAAAACAGCACTTAATCCTCTGATTGGGTTTGTCCTGTCCACACCCTCTTTGCACTCTGATCATACCTTGAAATTTGCTTTTATTGCATAAACCATATCTATATGTCTATTTTCCTTACAGCTTTATCCTCAACATGAAATCTGGCAGGGCAGGTATTCATCCATCTTCCATACATCCACACATGCACATGTATCCATCAACCCCTCCCACCCACCCATCTCCCTATCCAGCCATCCACCTATCCATCCACCCACTCATCCAGTACATCCATCCATCTACTCAAATATCTACCTATCCATCCATCCACCCACCCACCCATCCAGTACACCCATCCATCTACTCAAATATCTACCTATCTGTCCATCCATCCATCCATCCGTCCATCCACTCATCCAATCCATTCATCTATCTGCCCAACTATCCACCCGTCTGTTTACCAATCTACCTATTCATCCATCAATGCACCCATCCATCCACTCAACAAATGTTCTTCAACACAACTATAATTCATTTGCAGAGTTCCTTCCTATGTAAAAATTGAAATCAACCAGAGGCAACAGAAAATGAACAAATGAAAATAAACATATTTGTGATGGGTGCTATGGAACTGGAGCCTGGGGTAGTGGTAGGGTCCACCTACTCTGCTTAGGTGGTCAGTGGGGGTCTCCTTGACAACTGGACCTCAGGCCAGAGGACTCAGAAGCCACCTGTAAGTTAAGGCTGTACTGTCAGCAGCATGAGGACTGATGTGGCAGTTATTAGGTGCTGTGCGCACCGTATCTACTTTGCCCTCATTTTCCTGTGGCTGTCTCTATTGTCTAGGGCAAGATCCCAAGGCTGAGGAGGCCATGGAAACCCAGCTTGCTGTGGAGGAAGAGAGAAGCCAATCAACATTGCCTGGTCCCCAGATCTGTTGGGGCCAGTCTCTGAGGTGTGTGTCCCATGTCACCCTGGGGTGAGGCGGTCGGTCAGTCCTGTGCCAGCTCCCCTCTCATGGCCACTGGAAGGGGTTGATAGGATGCTCCTGGGTGAGTTTGTGGTCCCAAATTTGCTGCTTGTCAAATGGGCTTCCCTTTGTCCTCCACAGGACAAGACACAGGACATTTCTGCGAGGGTTCAGTCAGACGATGAGGATGTGAAAATGATGGGAATCAGCCCAGGCCCAGGTCCAGACAGTTGCATAAGAAGGTGTGGTGTGGTTCTTGTCTGTTTCTGCACACCCTGGAGGGTGTGGGACCCCGCTCCGTGGCATAATCAGAACAGAAAGAAGTCTCCCTCCCCTGCTGACCAGTGCCCAACAGACAGCAAAGGCCGCTGCAAGCCTGCTCCTCCCTGCAGGCTGCGGTGTGGGGAGAGCATGCAGATGCATTCTTTATGCTTTAATTTAGCACCTTGCTCGCCCGCCTTGCCTTCCTCAGCACATTAGGCTGCCTCCTCTGACCCACCTGACTAGGAAGTCATCATTCTTTCTTTGAGCATTATTTTCATAAAAAAGAAAACAAAAACAATACAAAAGGCCATTCCAGACAAGCAATTCCCTTGTTTATTGATTTGCCCTGTCAGGTTCTTTTATGCAGACATAAGTTTTATGATAAAACTTCAGCCTTGCCTTTTATGACAATAAATAATGCATTGTGCTTCTTGAGTGCTCATGTTGTGTGGGACCCATGCTGGCTCCTGGCCTCGTAGTTCCAGGCAGGTCCTGTCTGTCCAAGTCACATACTTCCAAAGTTACTATCAGTTTCCTCCCCCTGAAGGTGGTATCAAGATGGCCCGCTGAAAGCCACCATTTCTGATAGCCAATTAAATCCACTGTGTGCTTTTCTCATGCTGTCTCTTCTGTTCGCTTGGGGATTTCTGTCAGCAGGTACGTGAGCCCAAGTCCTCCCTTGGCTTGGCCCTCAGCATTCCTCTTTCCTGCTTGTTCCCACGTACCCCTAAAATGGGGACTCTATGGTTGTCAGAATACCACACATGGCCCGCTATGATTTCTGGAAAGACAAAGAGTCAATGAAGAGCTCTGCAGCCCGGTTCTCTGCAGTCAGGCGTGTGCTCCAGGGTGCAGGGCCCTCTGCCCAGCAGGGCTGGAGCATTGCTTCCTTCTGCTCCTGAGCCGAGATCCTTGACTGCCCAGGCATGGAAAACCAACACTGGGGGTCCAAAAGGAGGAAGTTGAGGTTCACAGTGTCTGAGAGACAGTCTGTGACGGGGACCTCACCCCGCCTGTCCTGCCCACACGCCAGAAGGAGGTGTGTCCTTCCTGCAGGGATGGCCGAGGGGGCAGAGGAAGCTGGCCAGGAGCAGTACCACAAAGTGGGGCCTTGGCTTGTTTGTCTAAGCCACTGCCTTCCCCTGGAACTCACGAAAAAGGATTCTGAGAAGTTTGAAAGCCAAATCCATCTCCATGGTGGTTGAGTGCCAGTGCTACCGAGGTGGCCCAGGCTAATGAATGCCTCCCTGGCACAAGCCTAGATCCCCACGTGTCCACCAGAGCCCCACAGAGCCTGCTTCGGCTCCATCCGGCCAAGCGAGATGCGGCCCCCAGAGGGTTCTCTCGGCTGCCGCCCAGGGAAGCCAGGAAAGTTCGAGTTCTTCGCGAATGGTGGTAAACTTAGTGGTCCCCTGGTGCTCCCACTCTTCCTGGGGCAGTAAAACTACAATTCATTGCAGATTATTTGAAGGCAAATCACTTTAAGTGTAAGAAATAAAAAGGCAAATTGGCAATTGAATTTTGTGGGAGCGTGTAAACGGCTGATTTGCATTTACCAGGGTGCTGGGAAGACGTGACAGTATGGGAGCAGAGATGCATGCGAGGGAGGGGTCACAGGGACTCTCATCACGGCTCGTGGGGCCGTGGCAGAGCGCGTGGCCCTTCGCAAACCTCTTTGCGTCCTGTCTACTGGGGGCCAATGAGCAGGAGAGACTGCCCCACTCAGGAGGACTGAAGCACTGTCCAAGCGCAGCTGGCTTCCACAGGCCATCTGGAAGGGATGGACGTTGCTGTTGGCCAGCAAGCTGGAGTCAGTGCCTCCCTTGGTGCCAGCTCCAGGGTGAGGCCATGAAGCCATCTCTCTCCCAGGTGCCCGGCCCCCGGGCACAGGGAGCCACACTGTGCTGCTCTGAGAGCTTCGCATAGACAGCCTGCCTGCTCACCGGGCCCCTCCAGGACAGTCTACATTCGGAAGGGAAGCCAGGAGCCCAGCCCGTCCATCTCGCTGCCAGGAAGGCCTCAGTGTGCTGCTCTGAACCAGCCCCGGCTGCCCCTCTGCAGCCTCACTTCTTTGTCCTTTGTGGAACCGGGATGGAAACGGGTGGTCTCCCACCGAGCCACATCCCTAACCCATCACATTATCTATTTATGTTTTGAGACAGGAACTCCTAAAATTGTCCAGGCTGGCTTTGGACTTATGGTCCTGCTGCTTCAGCCTTCCAGGCCGTGGGGATTGTAGGTATGAGCCGTGCACGGGGCCTGCTTTTTCACATTAAGGCCGAGGGCGCCTGCAGGGCAGGTGGCTCCAGGCGACAGGCCATGTGTGCTTCTGGAAGAGGCATCTCAGCAGCTGCTCCATGGTGCAGGTGTGGTCACTGGAGGGGATTTTGTCCCCAGAGGATGTGTGGCAAAACGTGAAGACATCTTTAGAGTCCTCTTTGGTTTTCATAAGTGGGGGGTGATATTGACACTGGTTGGGTAGAAGCCAGGGGGCCACCACACATTCCACAGTGCACAGCATGAGCCCCCAAATAAGCGGCTGTGCAGCTCCAGTGTCAGTCAGGGGCCAGGCCGGCCTCATGGCTCATTCATTGACACCATACCTGGATGTACCATTGGTCGACAGCTATGTGTTAAATGGGTGCACGGCTGGGTGGAAGGGTGGATAGTGGGTGAACAGGGAGATGAATGGTGGATGGATGGATGGACAGATGGCAGAAGAATAGTTAGAGGGGAGGATGGATGGGTGCAGGAGTGGATGGGTAGATGGACG